TGACAACGACCTAGAGCAAATCCTCATGCTCTAAGCTAGAACAAGGACCAGGCTACTGTTATAACAAAGACATATATTTTTTTAGATTTATAAGCTAATACATATTTCAACACGTTATTGCACCCTTAGATCCGGGACGAATATTCTTAACACCCGGGGCTTGCATATGAAGAAGCCGAATCTTTTATTATTTTATGAGATAACAATTAATTTATTAGATTAATCAGTTTATGTTTAGACGCGCGTTCGCTTACCTCAATGTTTACTTCTGCTTCCTGAAGTCTCCGCTATAGACTAGTAACAATTTTTTTGTTGACCAATTAATACGTCGCAATTCATAATTTGATAATTTATGATATAAAAATCAATAGCAAAACAAAATCTATTTTTATTTCCGCAGTAGCCCTATTCTTAAACAGCAAGACTCCTGTCAGCGTTTTCATTTCAATGTCAAGTTCCAGTTCCCGTCAATGCAAACCTTTATGGCCGATATATGCATCAATTCCCAAATCAATAAACGCCGGAATTTGTCTATTTATATAGACTGTTTTAATAAACTTATGACATATATACCGATACGGAACTAAAGTTTGAATACCTATTATTCTTTTCAGTTTCATCTATGACAATTATCAGGATAACAGGTCTTTGGGCCTAAATAAACTTTTAGGAACTTAATTTCCAACTTTTATTGATCACTTAGTACTTAGTGTAAACAGCCTAATGACGAACCTTTAATAATAACTAACTTATTTAGCAAAACCAAATTGGCATCGAGACATTCAATGTTTATGTAACCAAGAATGTTTCATAAACATACGCTGGGGACCCAACGCTAGGTTAATAATAATGTTCCTTTAAAGTTTTGTGACGCAATCACTTTTTACGTGACCTCTTTCTTTACACCTGAAACATTTTATTCCTGACGTATTCGATGTGGCTAAGCGAGACAGAGCTTCGTTCTTCTCAATCGAAGTACTCGGCAAATTTATTGTGTTGGTGTTTTATCATCTAGTGATTTCAAATGTTTGACTAAAGTGGCTGGATGCCTTATACCAGCAACTTTAACTGAGAAACGAACCTACTCATTCCGTATTCCCGCAATAATTAGATTTACTATGTTCGCGTCTGGTATACTTAAATTCATTATATTATTCAAGGAGAGTTTGTTGTAAGCATACTCATACAAACTTTGGCCGGGTTGAGATATACGAGCAAACATTGAATACATTAAATTATGCAAATCCCGCTTTGGTTCAAAATGTTCTGTCAATAATTTTTGCCATTCTTGCCAAATAAAAAGACGGGTCGGCAAACTCCTATACCAAGTTTCCGCCGGACCTCTCAGCTTGCCTAAAGCCAATTACAAATTACAGTATCGGGCCAATAATACATGCCCGTATTCTTATTAACAGTTTTAAGCCATTCCTCAACATTATCATTAATTGGATCGAATTCACTGATACTATTAGAATGTACGGTAAGACCTAACAATCTAGAATCATTTGACTANTTGCTTATCCTTCTGCTGGCGCTCACGTGCAGAACCTCTGGCACTCGTATCCTTTCCAGCGTACACAAATTTTCCACAAGTCGTCCAATCCGGCTCGAAGGACCAACTTTGTATTGATAATGAAAGACCCTTTTTGTTAGTGGACTGTATTTTTGTATTAGAGCAGGTATATAACTTGGGAAGCAATCGGACAGGCTTGCAAGATTTATTTATCGGACTCGAAAAATATGTAAAATTTGTCACTATGACAGTAAACAACCTACTACTACAAAAAACGAAAAACAACGCTGCTATGTCTTGACCAGATCCTATTTTTATTAAGAGGGAAATAGTAATTAAAGTAATACAAAAGCACAGTGTTAAAATAGATAAATACATAGTAAATATCTTTTAAACCACTCAGTTTTATTCAAAAATACATATCTACATTAATTAAATTAATAATTTTTTTCTTTTCTCTGAAATACTGAATTATTAATTCCAAGAATTGGACTAATGGAGAAATAATCATGCTTTTTTCAAAATTTTTTATAAAAATATTTAATTTAATTACCTTCAATGTTTGTAAAAATTATTAAAGAAATAATATATAAAAATAATAAAACGCTAACAAAAAAAAACACTCAATATTTATGTTTTCGATGAATTTAAAGAATTTTCTAAATAATTTAACAAGGCAGTAACCGAATATAATCATTATAAACAGAGTTTTAAGACTAATTCAAATATGCATAAATATATAACGTGTTTCATTCAAAGAACTAACTTATTGATCTCGAATTTAAACGAAACCTTTAAATGCTTTAGTACAAATTATGACTATTAGCGGGAGTTAAGGTGAAGGACCCTGTATAATTGATATTTTTGTACATGAGGGATGTAAAATTTTTAAATAATATTACTTATTGTATAATAAGTGTTTATGTTTCAATAGTAATAAAATTTTATTATCTTTTTATGTGTATGCTAATAATACTACAAATCAGGCACTATCACGAAATACATTAAAATGGTATTTACGTTTTTTCTCTAAGAAAATTGTAAATATTTACTTTACAAATAGTATGTGGAATTATAAAATATTTGGGTATATTTAATTATGTTACAAAGCTATATAATAACCTCTTTTTCTCGGTTTTATTTACTTTTCTTGAATTAATTTGTCAATCATTATGTTTCGATTTATTAGAGTTCTTGCTAGAATTATAGGTACAATGACTTAGGAAATACTAATATTATATTTTTCTGCAGTTCTCATGAACTGTTGATGAAACACGTAAACAAAACGCAAATTTTCCTTTTTTATATGTTGGTAACATGACCAGATAAACTGTACCTGAACTCATTTATTATATTTGCTAAGTTTATATCAATATATTTAATTTTTACTACTATCATTTTACCTGGAAATTACGTCATTTGGGATAAGAAAGAAAAAATAAAAAAGTATCTGATATTCTTAGGAAATTGTCAATATTACTGCAATGGTTATTATTATTATTAAAATTTCCTTATTTCTCACAATAAAGAAATGTCCATGTAGTTCGGAAATTGAGGAGCTTTTGCACTACGCCTCGTAGGAGGGCAAGTGTATGGCAGCTTTAGAACTGTTGGTTGTGGCAGCTTAAGAGCTGAATACTCCTGAGGGTCTTCGCCGTAGGTAGAATGGACCTAGGCTGACAGCTTGAAGAGATCGTTAGGTTGATTTTTTAAGAGAATCTAACTCGGACCACATTTGAAGAAATATTTAAATTTATTGATTATTCAGGCTTAATAATACAATAATAACGATCATTTACATCGGTATATACAATGTGAAATTAAATTTAGGGCGTGTACTAACACTGGCCAGCCATCCGTATCCTGATCATATTTCTGTCGATACTGAAGGCTAACGTTCAGTCACAGGCAGGAGACATCTTCGGTAGGGGCTCTCTCGCGTGGTCCGGTTTAGTACGGCACCATTCCCACTACGCGGCTCTACCTTTCTCTGGTTCTGGGTTTCTGGAACTACGTATTGTTTAGCTTTTGTATACAGGGTATTATTTAAGTTCGTGACCAACTTCAAGGGGTGATTTTTTAAGTGATTCTAAGACAAAAAGTTTATATAAACATGCTTCGTTTTCAAGATATAGGGTGTCAAACTTTTTAAAAAAATGTTTTTTCGAAAAATCTTAATCCTTTAGCCGATTTTGTTGAAATTTGGCAGCTTTATTTGTGGTAGAAAGATGCTAATTTAGCCCCAACTAAATTAAAATTGGCAGTGGCGTTCTGGGGACCTTAACCAATATTTTTGACAAAAAAAAATGTGCGGTGCCACTGACTTTTACAAAAATACAACTTTTTTTGTCTCTTGAATTTTTCTCGTATTTACATGTCCATGGACAACAAAAAAAAACATTTTCTATTAATTAATAAAACACAATTTTTTTTTAACTAGCATTAATTTTTATAATAATTTCTAAGACTAGAATTTGGAATTGGAACGGCTACGTCGCCCTTATTTCGCGTTGTTGGGGATATGGGCTACTGCGAAGAAGTGATTTTGGCTGCATGGAAAGTGAGGTGAATTTCTCCATTTCCCGCCCCGCGTTATCCCAGAAGTTTCTGCTGACGGTATAGTCCTTCTACAACATCGACCATTGTGACTGAAGCGGTTTGTGGCTGCTAGGAGCAATTTTGAGCGCTACGCTCGATTTGTCATGGGATGGGTTTTTTTTGGCTTCGTGGTCCCGATTGGAAAGTGTGGTGAATTGGGACTACTAATACAACATTACCATCAAAAATGAATGTATTTTCATAGGAATTCATATATTTAGAGCATTTTGACTAAGGTTCAAAAACCAGCTAATTCAGTATACATGGTCTTTTAAACTATTCTTTTTCTTTTAATGGTGTACGTAAACGTTTAAAATTGTACCTTAACTTTATTTGTTTTTTATTTACTGCATTAAATTTATTACTCAGGTTACCCTGTATTTTTTTAGAGATACGTTTTTAATTTCTTAAGAATTTTAATGGTGTCGATTGCATTTTTTGTTTAATTTATGTGAATACTCTATTGCAAAAACTGTGAAAGAATAATTTTTTTAAATAATTTTAGAATAGAAAACAATCATTGTTTTCAAGTAATACTGAATATTTCTTTCACCTCCACTCAGTACTATTAAAAATTACAACAATTTATACACCAACAATATTGCTGATGTATAACTGCATATTTTGTACTGAAGGATATTTTTGGTACAAGTATATTTACTACACTTTTGTGCACTGTCCAAAATTCTCCTAGTTCACGTTCAACAAAAGTGTGAAATGATATACTGTCAATATCTTCTATGTCAGTTTCGGTTTCTTGAAGATAGTACTTTTTAAAAAGTTAAAGGCTATTTCTGATTGAGGTTAAGTTTAGTAGAGAAGAACTACATACTTTTAAATTCTAAAAGGTTAATTGCCTTAATTATAAAAAGAAGTGTAAGTCGCTGGATGACTTCGATAATCCAATAATCGTTTATTTACTATATACATTTATACATTTTTAAATCTGTTAAACTGTTCAGTTAAAACTCATGGAAGTAAGTTACGCCATTTTTATCCAAGCACATGAAGAGGTTGATGGCAGTCTTCTCCGGGGTATTCTTTTTAATGGCACATTCCTTGACCAAGAACTCTACTCTGTTCGGATCATCAACAGAAAGGCCGATTTTGCTCTTGATAGTTTCGATGTCCAGTTCTCCGTTTTCCTTCTGGAGGCCCACCTTGGTTGATTCGCAGAGCATGTGAGCACCGACTTGGGGATTGTCGATGTTGGCAGCGAGGTTGTGCAGTAGGTCGTGGTCGGCGAATGTCTTGGGATCCGCCTGGCACTCGTCATGGATGTGTTCCAGCATCTGCTCCTCGGCAATGAGTTTAGGTTTGTCTTGGGCCTAGCATTGAAAAACACATGATTAGTTAATTGAACATAGTGGTACAAGAATAAATTAACTCCATATTTCTCGAAAATTAGATCTCTGGGGATATTAAGAAGTATCATCGTTACTTACAGGTACCAATATTTCAATATAATTTAGATACATGCTTAACAAATGATATAACTCCAAAAAATATTCTTTCCTTCTTAGAAAAAGCTTCTCTTGCAACTCCTAAACAGTTTGCATATTGGCACTTATAGATTTTGCATCATAGTTTATTGTAATTATGACCGTAATTGATATGATAATTAAAAAACCAACCATCATAGTTTATTATAATTATGACCGTAATTGATATGATAATTAAAAAACAGCTTTCATTTTTTTTAATGTTTATTATAAATCTATGTTCTAACAAAAATTTCTCACTTTTTTCTATAAGATGTAACATTATAATGTACCAAATTTTGCAAAAAGCATCTTAGGTTTCCTTTTCCAAAAAAGTAGAATAACGAAAACCGCATATCGATATCTGGGTTCGTCTAACCGATACAGGACGTTTATCAATTTTGGTCATTTTCGATATACTCTATAACTCTTTTGTGAAAACATTTGAATTTTGTAAACAGGTATCTTACGCTGTTTTTTATGCAGAATGCAGCGGTGTTCGCAATATTTTTCTATAATTTCTGGTTTTTCAGTTATAACACAAACATATATTTTTTAATGGAACAACCTGTATGTTTGTAAATATTTCAAATTTACATAAAGCTTCCTTTCAAATGATGCATCATTAATTCATTACACAAAAAATCTCTTTCAACAAATAAACCCCAAAAAATATATTTTTTTATTATTAAACTGTTTTTGCCATGGTACGTCCATAGTTTGATGTATTAATGACAAACGAAAATGGACGATGCACTGATTGTGAGTTGTATCAAGAAACATTGGTTTACAATAAAACTAATTTGGTTTTTATACCTTGAAAATAAATTTTTTGTAATTTCTACTACCATTTGAAAGTAAATTTTACGTAGACTCCAAAAAATATAAAAATATGTAGAGATTAAAGAAAATTAAAGTTTATGTTACAACTAAAATTGACAGTTATAGAATACAACGTACGCCGCCGGATTCTACGTAAAAAATTGTGTGAAAAAATGTCTTTACAACAGTCAAGTATTTTTGCAAACAAAATTGTTTTAGACAATTATGGAAAACGACAAAATTTGTATCTCAAACGAATCAAGATATCGAGATGCGATTTTCGCCATTGAATTTATTTCGAAAATCAAGCCCGTAATAGACAAAACTACTTCTTTTCGGGATATAGGGAAAGTACCGAATCCTGTATATGTGCTACAGCGCTTATACAAGATGCCCCGAAATTAATGAGAGACAGAGCCAGAGTAGATTTCTTACATCAAAATAGCGCGATATAGCTAAACTTACCTTAGTCCATTTGTGATAAAAAGTTACAGGGTGTTAAAGTTAAAATTTTGAATTCAAAATTCTTAAAATTTCTAGAAAGTTTTGAAAGAATTACTTTGAAAAATTGGATTTTGGAGTTTCCTATGTCCAGGAAAACGAACTTCGGACTTAACTGTGCTGTAGGTACATGCTAGAGGTCGCTACAAACCGTAGTCTCGGTTGATAAAAATTGCTCATAACTTTTTTCACACACACTGTGTTCGAAAGTTTTAATAGAAAAAAAACTTTTTGCGTCCAAAGGAAAAGCAATAAATAAATCGAAAACAGTTAAATTTATCGACATATAACAACATATAACAAGTATATCTTATTTGTGTAAAATAGATAAGAGAATAATATTTTTCTATTAAAACTATCATACACACACTGAGAAAAAGATATGATCAATTTTTATCAACACAGTTTTACATTATCAAATTTTTAGTATAGGTAAATTAATCTGCAACTGCGGGATAACTAAAACTTAACAAAGTCTTTATGAAATTGGATAACAGCGGATATTATAAAGCCGGAGGCGCAATATGGCCACAATTTTTATATTAAGTTTTGGAATCTCCTACCGACTACTGAAACTTTCATATATGAAGCAGTTACTACTCTTATAAGGAGTAAATATTACATCGTAGAAAATTTAATAAAAATATTCTTTACAAAGAACAATTTTTTACTGCAGTTGACAATTTGCCATAGCAAAATTTTAAGTCGTTTCAATTCTCAACATTATAAATAAAAAAAGGACATGCATAAAATTATTAACATTAATTGAATAGTCTGATATAGCTATTCAGGTCGATTGTATATTATTATCACATACCTACTCGTAAACACTTAAACGATTCTTGCTGTAACTTTATGGTGAAATTAGAAATAATTTCATTTAAATTTGCTACCATTTAAGAATGAATTCATTATTATCACAAACTAGTATTTAAGAACACCTCTATTTTTACCATTAATAGTTTTAGGTGTTACTTACCAAGATGCCGACAATAACGCACAAAAACACAAAAACGGTCTTCATGTTAGCTGCTTTTTTACTTCTTGCAGTTTCAACAATGTGTGTTATCGTTTTCAGATTGCATCTCGTATTTATAACTTAAGTAGGTAGGTATACCTGGACATGATTGTTTTCTGGGAAATCCGTAAAGAAACAAATAAGTCACGTCGTGCGCTATGCTACCTTGTAAGGTATTGTTCAGAGAACATAGTTAAATAAAACATTTATTTTTATTTTTAATTACTTGTATTGAAGTTTGTAAAAATACCGCAAACGTTTATACTAATTGTTGCTATAATATTGTTTATGTGTAAATACAATATTCTCACATCAATTTGAAGGTTAAGACAAATTTAAATGTTAAATAAAACTGGTTAGTAATTTAATACAGATATGCCCTTCTTTCATTCAATAACAATAATCCAAGTTAACATCTAGTAACAGATATACAGGGTGGTCCAGATTTTAATAGACAAACTTCGGGAAAGTACTATTCGAAACAACAAAAATTAACATCACTTTGCTCTATGAATATAGGCGCAGAAAGCCACCGTTTATGTGATACAGGGCCTTGATATTAACAAAAATAAAACAATTTTTTAAATAACTAGAAAACCGCTACACAGTAAAGTTAAATGAAAAACAAATAAATTAAATCAATTGTTCGAAATGTCCACCTTCACCTCTAATGAATTTTTGGCGTCTTTTGGTTATAGAATTTACAGCAGCTCTGATTAAAACTGGATATTGCTTCAAATTAGTGTAGGTCCCATTTAGCCTTTGCACTAGCTGGTCTCTATTTGCTATAGGAACTGCATAAACCTCATTTTTTAGTTTACCCCAAATAAAATAATCTAAAATATTTAGATTAGGTGATCTAGGTGGCCAAAATATGGGACCATTCTGACCAATCCATCTGTTTTGGTAGTCGTTTGACAGCCATTCACGAACTACCTGGTCAGAATGTGCTGGGGCCCCCTCCATTTGAAATTGGCTCCCGATTCGTTGTTCCAAAGGTATGACCTCCATTATCTGGAAGAGGTTATCTTACTTTAAATAAGGAAACGATATCCTTGTTTCTCCACCACTGGTTTTTGAATTTGCACTGTGTGCATACAGAACCAGAAGAAATATTTGAAAAAAATGTGTATCAAATTTGAATAAATTTGACGAAACGGATTTCCAGTTAATAAAAAAAAATTGTTTTATTTTTGTTTGTTAATTTCAACGCCCTATTGTTTAGTAGGTACTTTCCTGAAGTTTGTCTATTAAAATCTGGACCACCCAAATTTGATGAAGCGGTTTTCCAGATATTTAAATAATTGTTTTATTTTTGTTATTTTTTCAACGCCCTGTATCTCACAAATGGTGGCTTTTTACGCCTATGTTCATAGAGCAAAGTGATGTTACTTTTTGTTGTTTAATACTTTCCCGAAGTTTATCTATTAAAATCTGGACCACCCTGTATACATGAACGTTAAAAGTATAATGATTAGGGTGAATTAATTCTGTCTATTTTAAATTCTAAATTCAAACAAGAAGCTGCATAAAATTAAAAAACTGCGAGGTCTGTTCAAAGAATAACCGAACTTTTTAAATTACGCGATAATGGAGATGTTTAGTTGCGATTGGTAGCATTGCGTTGCGCATAACCTAATCTATAACCAGACCCGACTTTAGGGGGATGGGGAGGCTACGAGGCCTCATGAGATCGGGGGCCTCGGTAAGATCTGACAAAATGAAATCAAAAAGTATTTAGGTTTTGAAATTTTTTATTGGCAAGTCGCTGATTGCGTGTCCTTTTTTTAGAATCAAACCAAAACGTGTTTAGGTTTTGAAATTTTATAGAGAAAGGTCTCCGTAGCCCCGGGCGTAGATTAATTCGGCCCTGTCTGTAACCACATGTTCTTGAATTGTTGATATCTCATTTAGTTTAGTAAACGATCCTCGACCAACTGATGACTTTCACCTTCAGAAAATCAAATATCTGGTGCATGCAAATCGCCGATTGACTGTAAGAGAAATTGCAGAAGAGGTTAGCATCTCAATTGGGTCATGCCATGAAATTTTGTCTGGAAAATTGAACATGCATCGAGTTGCAGTTGCCTGGAAGTTTACGATGAAAGCAATCTTGTTCATAAGATAGATTTTATCATCAGCTTCTTGTTAAAATTTAGTAATGGCATTTCTAGTCAAAACTTTTGATTTCTTGGATCGAAAGCAATCAGAATTTCTCTTTAAAACTGCAACTAAATGTAAGTACTTTCTAACGTCTGTCGTATTTTATTGATATCATCAACATAGAATAGTAGACCCAAAGGAACGTGAGCTTGTCTAGTTTTAATAGATCTTCAAAGGATGCTAAGAAAGCCTTCTCGTTATGGATATTCTTGATGCATTTAAGCAACATTTTCCGCGACTTCTACAATATCTTATGAACACTATCAGAGTCTGAATCAATCAATCGCTGTTTTGTTAAACATCCCATAATTGCATTTGTCACGTTAATAATATCTATTAAATCTAATCTAGTGGCACCACTTACTACCAAATGTTACTCCAAATATTACTATTCAGTTCAATATAATGAAGTAAAGTTCACTGATTTTTTTTTAATACCACTGAATATTAGACATTTTTCTTTCATCTGCACTCAGTTGCTCACAGTGGAGAGAAGTGTATGCTAGTGCAAGAAATATCAACATACAGCCAAAGATTTGTTAACTTGAAATGAAATAAAAACAATTAAAAGTCCAAATGTTTTATTGGACGTATCTTTGTGTCGACGTTAGATACCTACATTCTTTTGCGTAACTGAACATTATTTGAACTTTTTATAAAATGATTTACCAGTTCTACTTAAAGAAATATCTCTCGACGTACATAAAGAAATGTGATATTCAGATGAATAATCTTATGCTATCCAAGAATATTTAAATACTCAATTTCCTTGAATTTCCTGATAGCCGGACAGATCCCGGCGGTTCATTTTCATGATCTTCTTGTTCTGCGGACTTTAGACTTTTATATCTGGGGATACTAAAAAAATGGTGTGACATTGAAGACATATCTCGTGTGATCTCGTGAAGTAGCATCTGCAGTAGAACCTTTTTACAAATGTGTGTGATTCTTCATTTTCAGCAACTCTCAGTATATCCGCACTTTTTTGTAAGATCGGTATTTATTCATTTATTTATTCTTTTTTACTTTTTTGTGTCATACAGTTTTTGGCACCTTTTTTAGTAGTTTAATGACTAATTCGCATTTCAAAGCCTTTTCTTGTACTTCTATGACTGGTGAATAACTGTTGAAGAAAAGTCATAAAGTTTGAAGGGCACTGCTTTATTAAAATTTCCTACGCAAACTTGGGTCCCCTTTTACAGTTTAAAATATTCAAGAAGTTGCTTTGGACGCTCAAGGGTTTCATTAACTGTAAGAAATTACTTAATCGATTGTAATTCTTACGAGCTGAATGCCAAACTCATGTTTTACAGCATATCTATTAATATAAGAAAGTGATAGTATGCATACCTATAATATTTAAGAACTTTAATTATTTTTTTATTTAATATGGGGCTAGGCAAATAATAATTTTCAGCTTTTTCTTTTTACATACCGAACTTGTCCATCGCAATATTAATACACAAAATTTATACAAGGTTGACTTTGAAGACTGTTACAGGAAATGAGTTTGATGACACTTTAATAATATTTTCCTAGTCAGCTGCCAACTTTAATTTTTTAAATGTAACCATGTATTTTTTATATTCATTTTAGATTCTACCAGAAAAGCAGGGGGTACTTTATGTATAACAGTCATATGCTAAGGGTCCCGGATTTTGAAATAAGTTTCAAATTTTTTTTCGTCAAAATCGGCACTTAAACTTACAAATGTTGCTCAATAATGGCTCCTTCAAACTCTAATCCAAAAGTTGGACAGGATTCTACAGGACTGCAAAAAAGTGACGTGTCAAACATATCAATAAGAAAACTGAAAGTCCTGTAAAATTCAAATGCAACACTATACAGTTTGTATCAGCCAAATGGAATAAATTCAATAATAAATAAATGAGGGCGTGTTCGAAAAAACGCTCGGACACGTCGATTGGTATCTTTAGTTGCGCATATTTTTCAACAAAAACTTTTTATATATGGTGTGTCATGTAACAGCGGTCAATACTCACTTTCTTATTTTAAATGCAACACCCTGTATATTATTCAATTTTTGGATTCTTCAGAAAATTCTAGACATATTTCATGTATAATGTCCTATACCCATCTTCAACTGTTTCGGAAATATTAAGTGTTTTCAGATTTATTGCAAAAATTAACATTAAAAAAAGAAAATTATTTGATTACAGAAATTTGCTACAACACACTCAATACTTATTTCTCATTTAGCTCTTGATAATAATGAGAATGTAAGCAAAAACCATTTCAGCGTTCCTTTTTGAAAATAATACCAACTCAGGAGATGGGATCCAATTAGAACATGTTTTGTTTTCTGATTAATGCACCTTTACACTTCACGGTCATGCTAATCGTCAAAATTGCCGCTATTGGTCTAATGAAAATCCTCACTGGATTACAGAAGAACATACGCAATACTCTGAAAAGTTTAATTAATGTTTGGGCAGAAATTGTTGGAGATCATATATAATAGGACTCCCTTTTATTGATGGCAATTTGAATGGCGATAATTATTTAGCACTGCTCGAAAATAATGTCGTGTCAACTTTGACAAACTTATATTCTGATTCAGCAAACCTACAAGTTCCAGCGAATATGATATGGTTTCAGCAAGATGAAGCACCGCCCCATTACCAAATCAATGTCCGGCAGTACCTCAACCCAATATTTCCAAACCGGTGGATAGGGAGGCGAGGATCGATGGAATGGCCAGCACGCTGCCTTGATCTGACACCATTAGACTTCTTCTTATGGGATATGTCAAAAGTATTGTATACAAAACTAAACCCCTCGACTTTAATGACTTAAGAAGACTAATAACGCTTGCGATTAGATCGGTCACGCCTGAGATGTTAGAAGAAATTTCTATTTAAGATTAGGATGTTGCCAAGACGTTCGCGGCGAGCATTTTGAACATCTCCTACATTGACATTAATGTTTTTTTTACTTTTTTACATTATCAAAAAAAAAACATGTTACTTATTAGTTTTTGAGTGTGTTGGAATAATACATATATACGGTGTTGCATTTAAAATAAGACAGTTGGTATTGACCACTGTTACATGACACACCCTGTATAAAAAGTTTTTGTTGAAAAAAATTCTCAACTAAAAGTACCAATCGTCGTGTCCGAGCGCTTTTTCGAACACGCCCCCATTTATTTATTATTGAATTTATTCCATATGGCTGATACACACTGTATATTTTTATTCCATAGAATGCAATTAAATTCGCACAACTTTGTTACAGTTTTCCCCATACCTAAAGTAAATAGTCTTTTGTAAAATATCGCTTCTATGCAAAATGCAAGAATGTAGTCGACAAGTATCAAATGCCGACCTACAGAAAATACAAGGGACTGAAATGAAAATTAAGAGCCAAATAAGACTGTTCAGAGCCGCGCGCCCCCCTAGATTAGTCTTAAATATTACGAACTTGAGTAGATATTCTCATTTAGCATGGGTAACAACAAAACGCAGGAGAAACGCCAATTATTGATTTAAAATTACCTTACATGTGGATAGCGGCTCTCAAAATGTACATGAGAATAGACAGATTCAAAAAATAATAATAGCTTCGCAGATGATCTTCCATTATAACATACTCGTGGTATGTTATGCTGGAAGTTGGTTGCGTAACTTCGTTTAAAATGGAATAATTTGTTAAGTAACAAGGTCCCTCTGGACTTTTACTAAAATAATTTCTAGATACATATAAAGCTTTAATTAATCAACTCTTCTATTATCTGTCAAAATTTAATCATAACAATGATAAAGTTGTAGAAAAGTGAGCATATTTTACAGATTTTTAGAGGGCATGCATGTAACCAATGTTGTTTTGCATGAAACACATCCACATATCCATAGATGTCTCCATAGGATCCTCTTTCTGGATGACGCACTTGTTTATCGTAGTGTCGATGAGGTGTTCATCGTGCATCGTCATGGCCATCTTGCTCTTGATTACTGACATTTTGAGAACGCCACTGTGGCTCATCATTCCAGCGCCTTGAGCCATACAAAGCATGTGAGCTTTGACTTTTGGGTTTTGGGAGTGTTGGGTCATGTGGCGCAGGAGATTTTCATCGACGTGGGTGGAAGGGCTGGCTTGGCAAGAGTCGTGGATTTGTTTGAGAAGGGTCTTCTCACTTTCTGGGAGAGTTGCGGCCTTGCAAAATCAACATAATTGTAGAATAAGGTATGGTGTACATAATACAATAGTGTAACCCACTAAGAACCACGATATATTCCTTCAATTTTTTTTATTACACGATTTGTATTAACTTTTTTTAACATATAGCGGCTTTCTAAATGAACATGATGAACCAATTACGATGATCCAGTTGAAAATTCATGACCTGTCATGATATCTTTAGAGATAATCATAAGATCATCATTTAAAGGTTATTTCTTTAAAAATTTAGCTATAAATTAACACCACTTATAACACTAATTTCATCGATTCATCTACAGTGTGTTTCACTTAGTCGGAACACCTCCGTATTTAGGATGGCGTTGACCGATTTCCAAAATTCTTTTTAATGTGAAAAGGCCTACTTTTTAATATTATATTTTCTGACATGTGATCTTTTCTACGGCCTACTATCATTAATAAAATATCCTCAAAAATTAAAAAACATATTAGGCATATTTTTCAGAAGGAAATGGATAACAATGAGTTATTTTTTTTTAAAACGCCGAAACACGTTAACGGATTTTGATTTTTTCCCATCTTTCGGTTATATAATAATTAATTTTTCTTCAACCCCCTAACCCCCAGCTACCCCTACTTTTTTTTCAAATGGAAACATAAGGCATGAGGGGGCTCGTTGAAAAGCTTATAGAAAACCGAATCCAGCCATACCAAATAAACAAGTTTTATTTTTTCAATAGCAAGGTCTTTTCTTAATAATAGTAAGCTGTAGAAAAGATCACATATCAAAAAATATAATATCAAAAAGTAGCTCTTATTGAGTGCTACCACATAAAAAAAAAGAATTATGGAAATCGGCCAACGCCATCCTAAATATAGAGGTATTCCGACTTTAAGTGAAACACACTGTATAATATTTTTGAAACCCAAACTTTCCGTATTAGTTTAGAAATATAAAAAGCCCTGTATATACCTGACGAGGAAAAATTAGCAATTACTAACCCTGCCGATTGTGACGACTACTCTGCATATAAATTATTTTCATAATTTTAGATTTATAAAACATACCTTATTATTGGCCAATTGTAATGATCATACAAATTTAAGATATAGGGTTTTAAGACATGCTGCGTAATCAAAACTGGATCGTTATAGTTGGTTTGGTAAGAAATACATTTTAGAAGGGTATCCTGGTTCTCAGTGCTCCACATATGTTAGTAATTTATATACAGTGTGTCTCTGGATGGGGTTCCGCACTCTTGTAAACTCTTTTATTGTTGGTTTTTCGAGAAAAAGTTATTTTTGATAAAAAGTTTTGCTTATCTTGCTTTCAAAATGTGAAATTTTCCCTAAGCAAAGTGGCTTTAATTTTTGTTTTCTTTAAAAACAGCATTTAGCAAAGTTTTTCGAGAACTCAAGAAATGCTTAAAAACGGGGTTTAGTCAAAAAAGAAGAATAATCACATTTTGAAAATAAGAAGACGCGATTTTTAACTATCTTAAGCAGACAGAAATAATTAATTGTAAAAAATAAACATTCATTTTATGATTAATATAATATAAAAACAGCTTGGTAGAACAATTTTCGGGTTCGTTGCCACGTCGTCGGTTTACGTTTCGAGAGCTATATCACTCTACTCCTCAGAAGTAACTGAGAGTTTTCGAGTTATTGAAAAGAGCGATATATCTCTCAAAACGCCAAGAAACCTAAACTGACGACGTGGCAACCGGCCAGGAAATTACTCTAGGATTAACAATTGCCACGACAACCTGCAAACCAAATAAAAGTAGCTTTTCTAATTAAAAAAATAAAGATAACAAATTGGAACTGTAATTAACAACAACCACGGAACAATTCCTATTCAACTCGTAAACCTCCAATACACATTTTTCTGTACAGACGAGATCATTTCTTCGTTAATGAATTATATTTTAACACGCATTACTTTACTTAATAGATCTCCTTATTGAATCACATAAAACAATTTTATTACATTTTTAATATATCCACTCACATAATTTTTTCAACTCACCGAAATTCCCGCCACAAGAGCAAAAAATACAATAACAACTTTCATTTTTATATATTATGTTGTAATTTTAACTACAGTTGCAATGTAAGCTAAAAAAATATGTAGAAAAATCAGTATTTATACCTTGCAGAAATCGAAACGGTGCAAGGGGCACTGCAGATAATTCAGCTTATCGTACTCAATCTTTTTTATTTTTGTTGTGAAATTCGCGTCAGCACAAACAAAAACAATATAATAAGTTACTGCAATTTCGCAAAAATAAACAGATCCATAAAAATTAATTAGTAACCTTTCGGAGGGAGCCCGGGTTAAATATGTTTCTTGACCCGATGTTAAAAATAAATGTGGACATTCCCAGAATTTAGAAATGATTAGTGGACAATTATGAATTTAAATTCAATGAATTCGGAGTGCATTTTTCTTTTCTTTATCTACTTTTTTTTCTAATTTGACATTCATTAAACTTGTGTATTTCTCTATACAGTATATCTTTCTGAAATATTTTACAAAATACTTGTGGGTAATTTTATATCTATATATTTTATATATTTATTCACACACACTGTGACAAAAAAAATCCATTAATGGATAATGTGGGACAGCCCCACAAAAAAAAAGTGTCGGATCTGGTATTCAGACCCAGGTATTTCCATGTATTTTTTCCGCTGAATCCTAATCTGCCTTCAGATTTGGCCCAACGGGTCTGAGTTTTCTGAAAAATTAAAAAAACAGGTCAAAATTCACAAAAACGTAATTTACGATCCACGAAAGTTATAAAAAATCAAATTATTCTACCAGCTCACTAGACGTATGATTTTTCACTCGTTTAATTTCAATTTATCATCATAGAGTCAGATAAGCTGGTACAATTTCATTCAAAAACAGAAAATAGATCAAAACGCCATTTTCATAGCATAATTCGTGTTGCAGAGTTCTGGATCCATCTTTTCGTTTAGCCCCTCTATTTTTCGTTTCTCTTTTTAACAACCAACAAAAATCAGCCATCATGTTGTGATCCCATCTTCCTTGATATCGCTGTTTTATAACCTTCATATCCTGATGAGATCGTTCGCCTTGTTCTTCGCTATAATCTCTAAGATTTTCAGGAAACCAATTCTGATGTGAATGAAGGAAGTGCAACTTGTAGCCCATCAAACATCCCAGGTCTTGGAAGTCTTTTATCATTTTTGATACAATTTCTTCGTATTTAGGACTCTTGTTGTTTCCTAAGATATTTATCGCTACAACTTTGAAACTAGTCCAAGCACTCTTCTCAACGCTACTTATTGTAGTGATGAATGTTGCATCCTTGAACAATGTCCGAATCTGAGGTCCATCGAATACACCGTCTTTTAATTTCGCCTCAGAAATATTCGGAAATTTTCGCCCTATATATAATATAGGGCAAAAATTTGTTGGTTGTTAAAAAGAGAAACGAAAAATAGAGGGACTAAACGAAAGCGTAACCCTTTGCATAGATCCTTTGAAGAAAAGAGGAGACGTTATAGCAACAAAAATAAGAATAATTTGTAGATATCGTTTTCTTTTGTTTAGAAAGTAGAGTATTCTACAAGTTTTATTGCATTCTCAATCTTCTAGGCTGTTATCTCATCTCTCAGCACAAAAAGTAGATGGATAGATGGGTGGACGGGTGGATTTTATAAGTGGTACAGGTGGATGAATTCGCGTATTCATGCATGAACGACTGTATAGAAAGATGTATGAATTCATAAATGGGTGGGTGGATAAAAAGATGGATCCAGAACTCTGCAACACGAATTATGCCATGAAAATGGCGTTTTTAAGCATTTTGATTTATTTTCTGTTTTTGAATGAAATTAGACCAGCTTGTCTGACTATATGATGATAAATTGGAATTAAGCAAGTGAAAAATCATACGTCTAGTGAGCTGGTAGAATAATTAGAATTTTTATAACTTTTGTCGATCGTAAATGACTTTTTTTGTGAATTTTGACCTGTTTTTTGAATTTTCCCGAACACCCGTTGGGCCAAATCTGAAGGCAGATTCGGATTCAGCGAAAAAAAATGCATGGAAATACATGGGTCTGAATACCAGATCCGATACTTTTTTTTGTAGGGCCGTGTTATTTTCTAATACTGAGTTGTGAAAAATCATGTGATTAATTATTTATTTTAGTAAAATGAGAATTCATTGACACTTGAAACCAAATTCTTTTATCAAAAATAAAGGAAAACAATCTTATAAGGTAGGTCTGAAAACATGGAGTTTAGAGAGTGGTCACAGGTACTTTTTTTAAATATTCCCTGAAATAAAAGCTTAAATCCGGACAAGAAGACCATGGAATCGCCAAACAGGATAAGGAAATACAGTATTTAAATATTCTGACATAGCAGTAATGAAAAAGCGATGTGAAAATTAGTACGATGTAAAGAATAGGGATTTTACCGTATAGATAATAGACCATTGATACTGTGGATACTATGGAAACCACAAATAACAATAGGGTAATTTTACGTCAAGTAGCCCAGAGCCCCCCACATGACCATCTTCAATTTTGCTGAAAATTGGCGTGTATACAAATCTAGTTCTTTAACGTTTTAGCTCCATATATTAAATGTTTGAAGCAGCATATCCTTTTGACTAGAGCTTCTACTGATTGCGCTGCGTCAGCCACAACGATTCTGGACAGTTTCACACTCTCTCCTAGCTCATTTAGGTATGGTGCCGAAATTCGATATACTAGATCAACTTTTTCAGGTAAACAAGAAAAAATTAGTATGAATGGTCAAAAAATAGCACATGATCCCCAATTTAATCTTAAAGTGGCTCAAAATTCACGTTGCACAGCCATATTTTGTAACTACAGGGTGTTTCAGGATTAAGTCTTTAAACTTTAAGGAGATATTCCTCATAAAAAAAAAAAAAAAAAACAAGGAAAAAATTTTTTACAGAGACGCTTCATTTTCGAAATATAGGGCGTTAAGGATTTTTAAAGAAATTCGAATTTTTTAAATAACTTCTAAATGAAGAAGGCTATTTAAGCCAAATTTGGCATGACACTTCTTCTTATAAGATACCATTTTTCCATAGAAGTAGAAATCATGCAAGCACCAGTGGCGGAGTTATGGGGAGATTCATTAAATTATAAAAAAAAATAATACGGCCCTACTGAAAATAAAAATTGACGCTGTTTTTAGATAGAACAGTTTGTTATTGACAAAAGTGTACATGCACTTTTTTCCTAACTCTTATAGTTTCATGGCAAAATTGATTTTTCGGAAGGGTGCTTCTGGATTGTGTCGATTAACTTTAAAATGAACCTCAACAAAAATTTCGAGTAGGCTGCTGTCAAGCAATGTTAATTTGACGTTTCAAATGTTATTTTGCAAATTGTTGCATAAATTATCCATTAGATAAAGCATTCAAACTAATAATAATAATAATAATAAGTTTAATAATGCCGTCCATATTTTCGAACAATGAATATGCTGATATGGTCTTTGTATATGGGTTTTGTGATGGAAATGCCACGGCGGCTCGCCGTGAATATGCAGTAAGATTTCTTCATCGCAGACTACCAGCAAAGGGAACATTTTCAACGACATTCAGTCGTCTCAGTCAAACTGGGTCTTTCGGTATTCCAACTTATGCTGATGGACATTTTGCCCCACTTCAGGACGAAGTAAGATCGAATACTATTTTAAACCATTTCGATGAAAATCCATCCACGAGTGTCAGAAGATCTAGCTATGAGCTAGATATTTCCTCAAGTTCCATTTGGAGGACTCTTCGGGCTGATGGACGCCATACGTACCATATCCAGCGTGTGCAACATTTATTGCCTCAGGACATACGATGCAGGCGCGTGTTTTGTGACTGGATGTGAAACCAAGCAGAGAATGATGATCCGGTTACGCAAAAAGTAATGTGGACAGATGAGGCAACATTTACTCGAAGCGGAATTTTAAACCAAAGGAACAACGTAAATAAGGAAACATAGTTTTCAGTATGAATTCCAATGTAACGTATCGTTGGGTATGTTGGACAACACTATAGTTGGTCCCAACTTCCTTCCGCATCGGTTAAATGCTGACATGTTTACCGAGTTCTTTGAAAATGGTTTTCAAGATCTGTTAGAAGAAGTTCCGCTTAATACTCGAATGAACAGTTAGTTTCAACTAGATGGTTGTCGTGCCCATTTTGGTAGACGTCCTAGGGATTGGTTAAATATTAATTATCCCAGGAGATGGATTGGTCGTGGAGGACCTGCAGCGTGGCCCGCACGTTCACCGGACTTGATACCGATGGAGTATTTCGTTTGGGGTGCTGTTAAACAAAAAGTCTACGAGGTGCCAGTTGATACCCTAAAATATCTAATTCAGTGTCGATTGGCCACTACCTCCATAATTAGAAGATGTCGTGCTTGTCTACAGTCCGGAGGCGCCCATTTTGAACAAAATATTTTTTAAATCATTTCATTTTTGATTCACTTTTCGTTTTGTTTAGGTATAAATAACATTAATTGGTAATTTTTTGGTTGTTTCAATTTACAAATAAATTTTCATGTATTGTTTGCCATCTTATTTTATTTAAAAGTACACAACACAAGTAAATGAAGTGACTACAAACCGCCTGAAAAAATTTACGAGTACCTATTGCAAGGGTCATTACGTTGCCGCATTACGACACAGTCACATTAGATGTTAGGTATTTCTATTGTTTTCATTATCATTTTTTTAAAACACCCTATATCTCAAAAACGAAGCATCTCCTAATTAATTTTAATACTATTGGTTAAACCCAAGGGAACGGGAGACAAAAAGGCTGATTTGACTCACACATACTCGAGACTAAGACCAATTTTAATAGGTACTATATTTTTTTAGGTTTTATGAAGAACGTCTTCCTAAAGTTTATCGACAGAATCCAGAAGCACCCTTCCGAAAAATCATTTTTGCCATGAAACTATAAGAGTTAGGAAAAAAGTGAATGTACACTTTTTGTCAATAACAAACTGTTCTATCTAAAAACAGCATCATTTTTTATTTTCAGTAGGGCTGTATTAATTTTTTTCATAATTTAATGAGTCCCCATAAGTCTGCCACTGGT